AAAAAAAAAAAAAAAAAAGATAAATAAATCAAGCAAGCAAGCAAGCATTGGGCACAGAGATCTCTATGTCCGTCATGGTCACCCCCTGTGGTGCCTGTTCTTCCACACAGCAGATCATTAGCTCTTCTTCCTTTGAGGATGTCTAGCAATGGCCAACAGGTCTTTTACTTCTCTCTGTGAAAAGCTGTGTGGCTCACACCCACCCCACCCTGCCTGGATTGTGCAGTCTGCGCCTACACCTGGAAGTCCCTCCCTCTCCACTGCTTTGTTTTAATCACCCATAACCAGTTCAATAAGCTGCTCAGGCTGGGCTCAGACTTCTGGTCCTCCTGCCTCAGCCTCCCAGAGTGCTGGGATTACGGGTGTGTACCACCATGCCCAGCTATATGGGGCTGCTTACTGAGCACTCCACTAGGACGCTGTCCCTCCCCCAGATTTGTACTCAACTCTCTGCCAAGGCCCTCTGCAACTTCTAACATCAATTCCTGGCACCTCTGGATCAGATGTAGGTGTCAGTCCTTATTTTGTCATTTCTTAGCTGTGTGACCTGAGTAATAAGCCTTAACCTTTCTCAGCTTCACATCTTCCCTTGTAAAATGGAAATGGTAGTACTCACCTCCTTGACCATGTCTGTAAAGCACTGGCCACTATAGAGTGTACCCAAGAAATCTCATTGAAAAAGTGGCTCCTTCTGGGGCTGGGAGGTAGCTCCGTGGCAGAGGGTGTGCTGAGCATGGGCAACACCCTGGCTTCCATTCCCAGTATGCACCCCTGCACACACACACACATCTGCACATGCGTACACACACACATGCATATACACACAGACTCACAGTTTAATGTAACAAGGAAGAGGATTTAATCAGAAAGGGGGTTTGTTTTATTTTTTGAGATAGGGTCTCACTATAGAGCCCAATCTCACTGCACGTTTGCCATGCCGTCCAGTCTGGCCTCAAACACGAAATCTTCCTGCCTCAGCCTCCAGAGTGTTGGGATTACAGGAGTGTGCCACTGGAAGAGATTTAAGGACGACTTCTTTGGAGACCCACAAACTAGTTCTGCCTCTCGCATGCTCCAGGCCTGTGCACATTCAGCTACTCATCTACAAAACAGGATCGGCCTGTGTTCCCTGCATGGCCTTGTGTGATGAGCACATCAGACCGTGCAGGTGGCTGTGTGGCGGCGTCCAGCTCACAGAAAAGGTTTACTACTAGGATGAGGAGTGGCTCTGGAGTGTGGGGGAAGCTTCAGCCTCTCCAGCCACAACGCTGAGGACGGGGCATGGGGAGCATTTACAGGCGTGGACCTAAGTCGGACAGACAGGCAAACTGAGGCTCAGGTGGCGAAGAGGCCTTTCCGTAGGACACACAGCAACTGGGAGGGAGAGCAACAGGGTCATGACCTCCTTTCAGTCTCTGTGGGGGAGAGTAGAGTCAGATGGGGGTCAGAGGCTGGGGTTGGCCCTTTAAATCCTAAGCTCCACCTTTGCTTAGAAGGGTCTCTGGGGAGTATAAAAGGGGGTGCAGCTCCTCTCTACTCCACAAGGCGTCTGCTGCTCCTGCTTGCTGGCCCCCAGTCCCTCCAGGGACACCCACTGACCACCTGCCAGGGTGCCATGGATCTGCCGCCCTTTGACTTGTGGAGGGACTACTTCAACCTCAGCAAGGTGGTGCTGGCGCTGATCGAGAGCAGGACACAAAGGCTGGAGATCGAGGAGACTGAGGAGAGAGAGGCGACCGAGGGGTCCAGCCCTGGGCCCCTGCTGGGGCGACGAGATCCAGAGCCAGGGGCCACCCTGTGCAACTTCTGCAAACACAACGGGGAGTCCCGTCATGTCTACGCCTCGCACCAGCTGAAGACGCCGGAGGGTGTGGTGTTGTGTCCCATCCTGAGGCACTACGTGTGTCCCTTGTGCGGAGCCACCGGTGGCCAGGCCCACACGCTCAAGTACTGCCCGCTCAACGGCAACCAGCACTCCCTCTACCGCCGCGGTGGACGCAACTCAGCTGGCCGGAAGGTCAAGCACTGAGGACCCTGAGGTGCCCAGCACCTGCACCCCTACCCCTCCTGGTTCAGTCCTGTCTAGATCGTTCAGCCTTACCTCTGCTCCTCCAGCCCTTTGGGGCTCCTGACCCCCAGCGCTCCAACCCTGCTGGATCCTGAAACACCAGAGGCTGCTGGCAGCCGAGCTGGCCCATCCGGGCTCCTCCTGGTGCAGCGGGAGCCCTCCCCTGGGGACTGCACACCCCCGTGGCTTGGTCTGGGCTACCTTCTTCCTGGAGTTTCAGTTCTCCTGGGGGCTGCTGGTGACCCTGGCTCTGCTCTTTGACTTCTCAACTTGGGCCCCAACTTTCGAGGCATCTTGGGCTGCCTGACCCTGCCGGACACCAGTGTGCTCTGCCAGGCCACTCTGAGAACGGAGACATGAACACGCCTGGCTCCTGAGCCTTTGAAGATGGGCACTAGTTTGAGACCGTCCACCTCCACCTTCTTCAGCACACGCAGTTTCCACATGGACCACCCTGTTACTCCTGCCTGCCTGAAGCATCCCTGCCACTAGGAGATGGGGAGAGGACGGGAACCCAGGAGGGCCAAGATGTCTCCACAAGCGCATCTGAGACTACAGGGCCTTGCTCTCTTGTTTGGGTGAGCTGACACCTTTCATCTCCCCCTAGTTGTTCTTCACGTTGTTTATCCCACTTCATTCCACCTGTCCCCAGCCCCAGCTCACCAATGGGCCCTTCTCCCCAGGGAGAGGTGCGTCTGTGCCACCTCCCGCCCAAATCGTGACACTTGGCTGTGTTTTATTGTCCAACAGTTAAATCAGCAAAGCTCCCACAGGAAAGGGGCTAAACGTACCCAGGTGGGTATGGCGATCGCCTAGATTTGATTTGATTTATTTTATTTTTTTCACGGCCAAGAAAAGAAGGGCCCCAGTCAGATTTTAAGTTGGTTGGTTCCGGGCTCGGAGCTCAGGGCCTGCATGTTGAGCGCTGGTGAATAAAGAGCGCTCTGAGTTACCTTCGAAATTGCTGTTTGTTTTTTTCCTCCAACCTGGCCCTACCCTCCGAGGCTGTGGAGGATCAGGGGAGCTGCATTGGCCCCAAGTTCCTGAAAACAGGAGGTAGAACTGCAAAGGGTCCACGGTTCCTCTCCACACCTGCCCCATACGTCCTCCCACAGGGCACTTGTGGCCTGGCCCCAAGTACCTTCCCAGCCGCTTCCAGGGCCCCAGGTTCCCCTTTCCCTGTCCTGCCCAGACTTCCTGTCCTGGCCTGTGAGACTGGGGTTCCAGAACTGACTCTGGGCTCCCAAACCCCATGGGAGAGTCGTTGACAGCTGCAGCCCCTCCCAGGGAAACACACACATACACAAAGTGTCGTGATAGCTGGGTTTCTTTTATTCCATTGTTCAACAAATACTTGTCTGACATTTATTTATGTGCTTATTTTATTTTTGCAGTACTAGGAATTGAATCTAGGGTCCCAGCTACTTTTTTATTTTTTATTTTGAAATAGGGTGGGCCAGGGATATAGCTCAGCGGTACAGCACCTTGCTTGGCAAGTACAAGGTCCTGAGTTCGATTCCCGATACCAAAAAGAAACAGGGTCCCAGGCCAGGCGTCGTGGTACACACCTCTAATCCCAGCACTTGGGAGGCTGAGGCAGGAGGATTGTTTCGAGTCTGAGACCAGCTTGGGCTACAAAGTGAGCTCAAGGCCAGCCTGAACTGCATAGTGAGACCTTGTCTCAAAAAAGAAACAGGATCCCGCTAAGTTACCCAGGTTAGACCCAAATTTATAATTCTCCTGACTCAGCCTCTCAGAGTGCTAGACTGCAAGTGTGAACTGCCACACCCAGCTTTGTTCCACAAATATTTATTAAGCACCCTCTTGGAGCCACTGGTGGGAAGGCTGTTCATTCAGAGCTGTCACACCGGCATGACATCTGAGTCCAAATGGAATCTAGAAATGACTCTCTTCTGGGGAAGGCTGCGCGAGGCAGAGGACACCACAAGTTCAGAGGTCCCACAGTGGCGCTGATGATCTGGTGTGTTCACAGAATATACAGGAAGCTGCTGAGTAAGAGATAAGATCGGAGAGCGGGATATGGGCAGAGTGCAGGACGTTGCAGACCCTGGTGAAAACCTGACCTTCATTGTATGTCCTCAACCCCCGAAATCCACTGGGCTCCTCCTCACACAGGCGCGGGTTAGGGAACCAAAGACCCCAGTGAAGGATCTTAGTTCACAAGGTCCCTTTCTGAAATGCAGCCCTGCCCACAACAAAGACCTTCAAACCAAACCACAGGGAAAGAAAAAGAGCCAGGCATGGTGGCGTACACCTATAATCCCAGCATTCAGGAGGCTGAAGCAGGAGGATCACTGAGGCCGAGGCCAGCCTGGAATGCATAATGAGTTCAAGGTCAGCCTGAACTACATAGGGAGACCATGCCTCAAAAAAGCAAAAAAATTAAATTAAATTTTTAAAAAAGCCCCTGCAATCCAAAGCCATGGGGGTAGAGTGTTGTATGCCCAGGGCAGGTCAGCCCAACACAAGAGCACCCACCAGGGTCATGTTGCCCCCAAAAGGGCACCCCTTTCTAATTCACACTAGGAGTGCATCAGGCTGGAGGCAGAGGGCCTCCCAAACTGGTGATGGAGTTTAACAAAGATACTAGGACAGGGTATGGCAGCGAACTCCTGTGTTCCCAGTGCCTGGGAGGCTGAAACAGGAGGGTTGCTGAGACAGAAGGATCACTGAGAGTTTGAAGCCAGGCCAGGCTGCACAGTGAGTTGATGGGCAGCCTGAACTATGTAGCGAGACCCTGTCTCGAAAAACAATTCTTCCCCAAGAGACTAATCTTTGTCAAACTTTGGGCAGCAGTTATGGAAAATAGGGGAGGTAGCCTCAGTACTCAAGATAACTACTCAGTACTTAATATTCAGTACTCAGTACTTAATATTCGGTACTCAGGAGAACACAGGGCTGGGAGGGGATGCCTTGGACCTGGAACAGTGAGAGGGTGCAGAAGTCATTTGGTGGTGGTGGCACAACATCCGAGGCCCCGGAAGCTGCTGGACACCTGGGTTGGGGCTTAGAAGGGAAGGCTGGAGACAGGCAAAACACGCCATCAAGTTTTACTTCTTGTTTTTTAATAAATTGAGTGATTTATTTGATGGACAATCAAGTAGCAGGGTGACTGTGAAGGACCAAGACCCTGACCTCTCACCCCTCTAGCACAGCACCTGCAGAGCTTCAAGGAACTGCCCAACATCCCCCTGGGTGCCTCTCCCAGAAGCCCTGACTTGTTCCCTAGCACTGCCCTAACAAATTACCACAAACTGATTAGTTCTGGGAGGCTGAGGCAGGAGGATTGCAAGTTGGAGCCCATCCTGGGAACTTTAGTGACTTAGTAGGACTCAAAAAAAAAAGATGAAAAAAGAAAAGGGCTGAGGCCCTGGTTCGCTCCCAGATACAGAATCCTTCTGCTCCCCGCTTGCCCCCCAGCCCTTTCTCTGCTTCTGTGCATCACACCTTCTCTGCCTCCTTCCTTCCCCGCTGGTCACTTCTCTGTGCCACTCCTGCCTCTTCTTAGGAGAAGAGCAGTCGTGGGGTCACCGGCCTGCCCTCCCCCACCACGCCCTCACCTCCCCATTATGTCTCCAGTGACCCCATAAAGTCCTTCTAAAATCCTGAAGGACTGGGGGTTGGGACTGCACATCTTGGTGTTCGGTGTTAGATGGTTTGGAGAGAAACAGACAATAGCAGCCATGCCGGGCCTAGTGGTGCATGTCTGTAATCCCAGCTACTCACAGGCTAACGCAGGAGGATCTCAAGTTTGAGGTCAACCCGGGCGACACCGTGAGACCCCTCTCAAAAAAACAAGTCCGTCGTGCCAGCTTTTTCTGAGGCAGCAGGATCACAAGCTCCAGCCCCATCTGGGCAACTTCATGACTTAGAGAGAACCTGTCTCAAAAAGTAGGAAAAAAAAAAAAAAAAGGCTGGGGATGTAGCTCAGGGCAAAGATCTTGGGTTTAATCCCTTGGATGCCACCAAAAAAAAAAGTCTCTCCAAATCACTCCTAACCTCACCACTGTCCTTGCCCTTGTCTAGTCTCTCATCCTCAACCCCCTCCTGGCCCCTACTCCAGACTTCCGTTCACTCTGCACAGTGATTTTGTTCCCTAGCGCTTTTTGTTTTGTTTTGGTGGCAGGGATTGAACCTAGGGGTGCTCTACCACTGAGATACATCCTCAGCTCTTTTTATTATTTTTATTTTGAGACAGGGTCTCTCTTTTTTTCTTTTTGGTCTTTTTGAGACATGGTCTTACTCTGAAGCTCAGGCTGGTCTTGAGTTCACTTTGCAGCCAGGCTGACCTCCGAACTTGGAACAATCCTCCTGCCTCAGCCTCCTGAGTGCTAGGATTATACATGTGTGCCACCATGCCTGGCTTTTTTTTTTTTTCCTTTTATGAAAATTTAGATGAGATATAATCTGCAGGAGTTACTAACCTGTAATGATAGGAAGAAGATGGTAGATTTGAAAAATGAGATACCTACCAAATTTTGCAGGTAATACAAGGCGAGAAGCTGTTACTGGAGTTGTTGGCTTGCAGGAGGTTAGATGAAGATGGCATTAATTGAGATAGGGAATATGGAGATGTGGAATGGTACAATGAAGTTCAGTACCTTAGGTTTGTTGCTGTAGGGTTGTTTGTTTTTTTAATTTATTTTGAGAAGGGGGTCTGCCTGTGCAGTTCAGGCTGGCCTTGAGCTTACTTTGTGGCCCAGGCTGGGCTCAAACTCACAGCAATCTTTGTGCCTCAGCCTCCCAAATGCTAGGATTGCAAGCATGTGCCACCATGCCTGGACACTTTGTAAAGATGATAATTGAAATACAAGGACAAATGAGATAGCTGAGCATGGCAGCACACACCTGGTAATCCTAGGACTCAGGAAGATGAGTTTGAGGCCAGTCTTGGCTACATAGTGAGTTCAGGGTCAGCCTGAACTGCATAGGAAGACTCTGACTCAAAACAAACAAACGAACAGTAAGAATAAATGAGAAAGCCAGGCATGGTGGCACAGGCCTGTAATCCCAGCACTCGGGAGGCTGAGGCAGGAGGATCGCTGCAAATTCGAGACTAGCCTGGGCTACAAAGAGAGCTCAAGGCCACCCTGAACTGCACAGTGAGATCCTGTCTCAAAAAGACAATGAAAAAAAAAAAAAAGAAAAAAAAAGAAATGCGATAGGTCAATAAATGAGTAGTCAAAGAAAAAAGAGAATTAGTACAAACTTGAAAATTCCCTGCATTGAAAGACTGGGAAATGGAAAAAGAACTCATTTATAAAGAGCACCTAGAGCTAAGATAACAAATTGTAAAGAGTGCAGAGAGAAGAGTCTCAGAAGTTGAGAGGCTGCTTCAAGGTATGATGGAGACTTGGCAGATTACAAGCTCCGTGTCTGTCCTATGATTCTAGTCGACACAGAAACAAGAGGAAAGCTGACTGACCTTAGAAGCTTACATAAAAACTGTGACAACTCTGGTGTCCTGTGGCACATTTCCTTTGTCCAGTTCTGATTGCAGCTGCAGCTGCAGCAGGCAGGTCTGCCAAACTTTTGTTTTCGTGGTGGTACTGGGGATTGAACCCAGAGCCTTTGCACCAAGCCATCCTCCGCCTTTTCTTACTTTTTTTTTGAGACAGGGTCTCCTTAAGTTGCTACACCGCCCAGGCTGGGCTCAAACTTGCTATCCTCTGCCCTCAGCCTCCCAGAGTGCTTAGACTCAGACGTGTACCTGCAAGTGTGGGCAAACTTGAACTCTTGATCCTTCTGTGGCCCTATTCATCATCTTCGCTCCTGGCAGCCCCCTTCTTCCCTTTACTCAGGTCAAACACACTCAGTGCCTCCTTGACGCTCCCCTCCCACCACCCCACCCCCGGGGGCGGCACAGCCAGGGCTGGGACCACCACCACCTCTCACTGTAACCACCTCCTCACCGGCACCCAGTTTCCACCCCTACTCCTCTGCCAGTTCCCCTGAGGAGCCCTCTTAAAGTTACCAGATCACACCTTCCTCTGCGAGGGGCCTGTAGGACCTGGCTCCCTTCACTCCAGCACCACGGGCTTCCTCGATGCTCGTGAAAACAACAGGCACAGTCTCAGCCAGGTGTGGTGGCGCACGCCTGTAATCCCAGCACTCGGGAGGCTGAGACAGGAGAATGGTTGCAAGTTCCAGACCAGCCCAGGATACAAAGTGAGCTCAAGACCAGCCTGAGCTGCTTATGGAGACCCTGTCTCAAAAAGATTCCCCCCCCCAAAAAAAAAACAGGCACCGTCTCATCTTTGACTGCCCTTGCTCCCTCAGCTCCTTTATGTCTTAATTCAAACGTCACCTTTTGAGAGAGGCCTCTTCTAGCCACCTTATTTTAAAATTAGAGGGGGCTGGGTGTATAGCTCAGTGGTAGTGCCTGGCATGCATGAGGCCCTGGGTTCAAACCCCAGTACCACAAATCATTCACTCAATCAAACTTCAATAAAGATACAAAATAATAAATATTAAATAATAAATAGTTATTCATTTATTTATTGTCTTTTAGAGAAGGGTTTCACGATGCAGTTCTGACTGGCCTTGAACTCAAAGCAATCTTCCTGCCTCAGCCTCCAAGTGCTAGGATTGCAGGCATGCATTGCCATGCTCGGCCCAAAATAATTTTCATAAAATAAAATTACAGGGGCTGTGGGTGTAGCTCAGCGGTAGAGCCTGTGGCTAACGTGGGGAGCCCTGCCTTACATCCCCAGCACCCTCCAAAACAATACATAATTCCTCCATCCTCAACCACCTTTCCTAGTTCAATTTCTTCATAATATACCTTCTCTCCTATAAATCTTATTTTGCTCATCTCCTGTTTCTCCCAGCTAAAAGTCAGCTCGATGAAAGTTGGAAGTTTTGTCTTTTATATTTATTGCCCCTTGGGGGCACTTCATTAATATCTGTTGAATAAATGAAGTCTGGTTTGTGGAATGACCTTGAGGACTCCTGCAAGATGCTAAACTCGTTGTTCAGCAGATTTAACGCCATCAACCCGCCGTCCACTTGATGCAACCTGTGTTCCACATTCCATACTTACGCTTAGAAGGGGCCCGGGTCAAGATCGCCCCACCTATCCATCAAAAAACTCCTCACATCTCCCTACCCGAGCCACGACGTAAAGGCGTAGACTGGGAACTTCCTAGACAACGCTGGAAGGTTGCGGAGTTGCTATGGTTACCGCGTCTGGCTGGAGCGGAATATCCCCACGGTGCCCCGCCCCAACCTGTGGGAGGTGTCAGTTCCCAAGCACCGCAGCACAGAGGCGGGAATGGAAGGCAGCAAAGAGGTTTCCTAACGCCCCTTCACCTCACCCACGCAGTTGTCATGGAAACGGAGCTTTTCCCGCCCCCCCGCTGCCTTTGTCCAAAAAAACAAAAACACTCGCGTACTTAGGAGGGCAGAATGGACTGGAACACTGCCTAAAAGCCAGAGACACCACTCGTTATCTCTCCTACTCTAGCGGTTGCTGTGGCCTGAGCGGCATCCTGGTCTGGATACCACAGCCCGGGGGGTAGCGAGGGACGCGCATGCGCGCGACAGAGTTTTACGCGTGCGCGGTTGTAGCACTAGGAAGCCAGGGGACCCAGTGCAGCGCTAAATTTGCGGCTGCGCAGCTGCAGCCTGCCGTGGACCCTGGTGGAGAGCAATTCTGCGCTTGCGCTGCGTTGAAGGGTGGGAATGAAATCCCAGCTGTAAGGGCTTCGGGGCAGACTGGAGGTTGGCGCGCGTGCGCCTTGGCAAGGAGCGGCCGGGGGCGGGGCCCAGAGAGGAGGTGGGGTGGAGGGAAGAGGCCGCAGAAGCCCGAGCCCTGACCCACCGGCTGGCTGGGGCTGCGGCGGCGCCGGTGAGTGACCCGCGGCCCGACTCGGTTCCCAATCTCCGCAACCCTCACTCTTTGTGGAATCCCAGATAGCCTCCGTGGTCCTCGTCTGATCTCGGACCCCCGTTATCTCCAGAGGTCCCCTTAATTTCTGGCAATCCTAGCGCCCCACGATCCCCGCAGACCCCAGTCTTAATGTTTTGTGCTCTCAGCTCTGTCACTGGCCCTGGAGTCCCCGTCTCACGGCTGTTCCGGACATCCTCTGAGGTCCCTGCTCATGCCAGTCTTGCACCCCATTGCCCTCGGAACCCCTAGGGCGCCTCTCTGGTCTAGATGCTCCTCCTCTTTGCTACGCTGCATCGCCCACCTCAGCACCTTCTTACCCCATGCCCAGACCCGCGGGACACCCCGTTCTCTTTCCCTCTCTTTTCCTGTGTATTTTCCTCGACTCCAGCAAACACCTCCTCTCCTTGCACTTTCCCTCCATACCCTCCCCCAATCCCATCAACTCCTCAGCAAGGTCCTTTGCGCCCAGAGAAGCCCGCGCCCGCTCTTAGCAGGCGCTTCTGACCGCCCCCCAGCCGGCGCCCCCGCCGCTGCCCCAGGGTCGTAGGAGCCCGAGTCGCGGCGGCTGGGGGACAGTGAGCCCCCGCCAGCGCTGTACACCCTTTGCCTGCAGCGCCGGCGCCCCCCATGCGGCAGGCGGCCGGACGGCGGCGTCGGGGGGCGCCATGGCCTCCGCGGCGGCGGGCGAAGCGGAGGAGACCACCCGGCTGCGCAAGCCGCGCTTCTCGTTCGAAGAGAACCAGATCCTGATCCGGGAGGTGCGCGCCCACTACCCGCAGCTCTACGGCGCGCAGAGCCGTCGGGTGAGCGTGGCCGAACGGCGGCGCGTGTGGGACGGCATCGCCGCCAAGATCAATGGCATCACCAGCTGGAAGCGCACGGGCCAGGAGGTGCAGAAGCGCTGGAACGACTTCAAGCGCCGCACCAAGGAAAAGCTGGCCCGCGTGCCGCACTCCACGCAAGGTGCAGGCCCCGCCGCCGAGGACTCCTTCTCCGCGGAGGAGGAGACCATTTTCGCCATCCTGGGGCCCAGTGTGGCGGGGCCAGGATCGAGTGCTGGGGCGGAGGAGCCACCTGCAGCCGCCTCCTCGCAGCCGCCCGCTCCGAGCGCCTGTGCCCAACGCTATGTGTTGTCTGAGGACCGCAGGGAGGACCGACGGGCAGGTGAGTTTCTGCACTATCGTCTTTGCAAAAGCAAACACTAAGTCCCGACGTCTGGAGCTGATCCAAGTCCTTTATGTGGCTAATCGGATCCTCACTAAAATCTTGGGAGGTGGCTACTGTTTATCTACATTTTACAGCTGGGAGAATTAAGCTTAGAAAAATAAAACTTGCCCCAGATCCCCTCACTAGTGACTGTCCGAGTCAGAAGTGAAACCAGATCTAGGAGTCCTGGCTCAGGGCCACAATTGGAATCCCTGCACAGGCAGATCTTTACCGCTCAACTGTGTCATCCCTGGAAGTTACTGCACATCGCTTTCTGTATCTGTAAAGGCACGATAAAAATAGTCTGCATCTCTAGGGCCTGCTGTGAAGACTTAAGTGAGGTCATATGGGCAGATTGCTTGGTACAGCATTTCCGAGGGGTACCGGGAATAGAACTCAGGACCTCGGGCTTGCCGTCCAGGCACTGCGCAGCTGAGCTGTATCCCCGGCCCCACGGTTAACTTGATACCACTGTTAGTGATGGGGAGGTACTAATACTTTGACTATTTTATAAATCGAAGATTTGCAGAGGTCCAGTAACTATCTCAAGGTCATGCCTCCAGTAGAGGCGGTGTGGAGACCGGGTTCCTGAGACTGACTTTTGGCTTAGCCTTGCCTCTGAATTGACTCTTACACTGCTATTCCTCAGGTATCTGCCTTGTGGTGGGCGGTGTTGTGGACACATTGGTGACAGTGGAGAGACAGTGATGACTCAGAGTGGCAGGCCTGGAGTGGGGGAGCCCAGAGGCTGAGGGGCCCCACAGCAGGCGCCAGCCACAGCCTAGGGCATGGAGGAGGGCTTCCTGGAAGAGAGGGGGCGTGACAAAGCTGAGGCACAAAGAGTAAGAATGAAAAAGAGCTGGGAGAGGAAACACCTTGTGCAGCCGTTGGGGGAAGAAAGCTTGGCTAGTTTGGGGAAAAGTGAAAGATTGAAGAAATGTTTTGAGATGGGGGCAGAGAGGTTAGCAAAATCCAAGCCATGCTGAGCCTCAAGATTGAAGTGAGGAATTTGGAAGGGAAGGGCTTGGAGATGATCAGACCAAGACAGTTCAGGATTTTAGAAACTCATTCGCTCACTGGAGGTAGACTCAAACAAGTGTGTATCCAGTGCCCCGCCCATACATTTAACCACTGGGCTGTCTTGCCCAGATCTAACAGTTACCGCTGAAAGCTAGTGGTTTTGCCAGAATTAGATTAAGCAGGGCTCATAAGTCAAGGTCAGGCCAGGCATGGTGGCACACGCCTGTAATCCCAGCACTCAGGAGGCTGAGGCAGGAGGATCATTGTGCGTTCAAGAGCAGCCTCGCCTACAAAGTGAGCTCAAGGCCAGTGTGAATTTCATGGTGAGACCCTGTCTCAAAAAGGCAAAAAAAACCCAAAGTTTAGGTCAGGACTTGGGACTTCATCTTGTGAGCCTTTTGGCGACATGGAAGTGTCTGGAACAGGAGACACAATCGTTGGGGACCCTTGTTCTAAATTTGACTCCAACCTCAGTGGTTTTTGGTTTCGTTTTGATTTTGTTTACAGTACTGGGGATTGAACCCTGGGTATTCACACTGAGCTACATCTCTAGCCCTTCTTTATTTTAGTGTTTTTATTTTGAGATAGTGGTTCCCTAAGTGATTAGCTTGTGCTGTGCATGCTGGGCTCCAGCTTATGATCCTACTGGTCAGCCTCCCAGAGTGCTGAGATTGCAGGCATATCCCACTGTGCCTGGCTAAACCTTGGTGTTTCTACCTGAGAAATGGCCCTGTTGTGCCAGAGCAGAAATGACAAACGTTTTCTCAGAAATTACATAACCACTTGATTCACTGGTTCAATAAATTTGTATTAAGAACCTTTTCCAAGCCAGGACACTATAGAAGGTGCTGCAAATACTGTGGACAAAAAGACAAACGCCCTTTCCACAAGGGGGTACAGGCCACAAACAGTAGTCCCCCAAACTGGTGATACACTGGAAAATGGTAAGAATTAGGGAAAGAAATAAAGCATATTAGGAAGGCAGTGCCTGATGAGAGAGGCCATATAGACATATAATCAGGAAGGGCTCCTTCAAGGATGTGAAATCAAGCAGGGATCTGAATAGAGAGTTTGAACCTAGTGGCTATTTGGGAGAAGAGTACTTCAGCTAGAGGAAAAGGCATGTGCAAAGACCCTGAGGCAGGAAGATGCCTGGAGGACCTTTAAATACACTCTTAACACTGTAAAACTTACAAAGAGGAACTGCTTTGATTGAAGGACAGGAACAGAGCCTAGCACAGCCTACAGCAGCCTGACCCATTTTGTTGTGAGAGCTAAAGACCATTTATCCTTGATATAATATTTTCAAGTGAGAAAGAGCCTGTAGTGACAAGTGAGTCCCTATGGTGGCTCTGGGGGAGATGTACTGTTACTGGTTGCTCAGTCTCATGCTTACAAATATGCTCATTTACATATGGGGAAACTGAGGCCCCAAGGTTGCCAATAAATATGTTGACTTTCTTAGTGGCCCTTCTATGACTCTTGAGCACTGTGGGTGTGAAGGCCAGGCCATGACTGGTGGATTCAGTAAAGAGGTGTGCAGTAACTGTCCAGTAAAAGCCCCACTATCCCCTCTCTTGCAGCCTCCTGAGCTGGCTGCTCTGGGAAGCTGGGCTCCCACCATTCAAGGGAGGGGGTGCTCTGCGGGGGGACCAGGGCAATTTAACTGGGCAAGGACAGGGGCCAGGCTTCTCTGAGGAAGGGACATCTGAGCTGGCCAAGGGGCAGTGCGAGGTGGGTGATGCTGGTGGAGGGAACAGTGTGCGCCTTGGCCCTGAGGCAGGAAAGTGGAAGAAGGCTGCAGTGGGGACAAGAGCTGAGGCTGTAGCTGGGTGTGGTGGCACATGCCAGCAATCCCAGCACTCAGGAGGCTGAGGCAGGAGGATCACTATGAGTTCAAAGCCCTCCTAGGCTACATAGTAAGGCCTTTCTCAAAAAAAAAAAAAAAAAAAAAAAAAACAAAGAAAAGAAAAAGTATAAGCCAGATATGGCAGCGCTTACCTATAATCCTACCATGGAGGATTAAGAGGCTGAGACAGGATTGCAAGCTCCAGCCCATCTGGGCAACTTAGAGAGTTAGTGAGACCTTGGCTGAAACATTTTTTCAGGGGCCAGAGAAGTAGCTCAGTGACAGAGTGCCCCTGGGCTTGATTCCCAGTAGTACTGGGAAAAAAAGGAAAAAGAAAAGATGGATATGATTCTAGGTTCTGAGTAAACAAGAAAGCCCACCTGGTAGAGCTGATATTGGGAGGAAGAGACAGGAAAATTGGTCACATCTGTGCCAGGGGGCATGAGAGCTGTAAGTGAAAGCCGGTAGGACTAGGGAAGAGAAAAGGAAAGGGATGGCAGCTTCTTTAGCTGCCATCGACTGTCGAGAAAGGGCTCTACAAGGAGGCAAGAAGAGCCATCATGTCAGCTCAGCCTGAAGGCTTAAAGGAGGTAAGAGAGGAAGCCAGCCAGGTGACTGGGGAAAGGTCTTTCCAGGCCAGAGGATCAGTCTGTGCAAAGGCCCTGAGGCAGGAGGAAACCTGGTGTACTGAGGACCAGCAAGGAGGCGATTGTGACCAGAGCCAGTGAGGGAGAGGGAGCAGAGGGACTTGAGGTCAGGGAGGCAATGGAGGTAAATCATGCAGTGCCCTGGGGGCCTCAAGGACTTTGCTTTTTCCGTTGAGTGGGATGGAAGCTTCAGGAAGGTTCAAACAAACAAACATACAAAAAGACAGCACCTGGTTTGTATTTGTCTTGAATTGCAAAAGCAGCTTTATGGAGATAAAATTTCTATACCATACAATTAAGTGCTTTGTGTTAGAGCACTTACCTAGCATGAACGAGGCAGTGGGTTACATCCCAAGCACTAAAAAAAAAAAAACGAAAATTAAAAAGGTGTAGAAGCCAGGTGTGGTAGTACATGCCTGTGATCCCAACACTCAGAAGGCTGAGACAGGAGGATTGCCATAAGTTCAGGGCCACCCTGGGCTACATAGCAAGACTATGTCTCAAAGAAAAAAATTACACAAAAATGGCCACGTGTGGTGGCACATGCATATAATCCTAGCACTTGGGAGGTTGAGGCAGGAGGATCGTTGTGAGTTCAAGGCCAGCCTGGGCTACAAAGTGAGCTCAAGGCCAGCCTGAACCGCATAGCGAGACCCTGTCTCAAAAAGGCAAAAAAAAAAAAAATGACACAAAAATAAGGTGTACGATTCATTCGCTTTTAGTGTTTTCAGAGTTGTACCACCTTTCTGTTCTCTCAAAAAGAGCTCCCTGGGGCTTGGGCACAGCACCTGCTTGGCAAGCACAGGGTCCCAAGTTTGATTCCTGGTACCAAAAAAAAAAAAAGATCCCCTTTGGCTGGAAGCCATCTCATGCAGTCCCAGCCCTAGAGAGCCACGAGTTTACTTTGTCTATAGATTGGCCTGTGCCAGACATGGCCTGTTCTAGACATGTCATAAGAATGGAGTTGTGCAGGGGCTGGGGATTTAGCTCAGCAGCAAAGTGGCAAGCGCAAGGTCGTGAGTTTGGTTCCTGGTACCAGAGAAAAACCAAAAAAAAAAAAAAAAAAGAAGGGAATTGTGCAGTCCGTGTTCTTTTTTTGAGGTACCAGGGATCGAACTCAGGACCTTGTGCTTGCCAGGCAGGCGCTTGTGCCACTGAGCTATATTCCCAGCCCCAGTCTGTGTTCTTTTATTTGGGTTTCTGTCCTGTACCCTGCCTGTATTTCAGGTGGACCCTCTGGGCTTGTGGCATGGCCAGGGATTAGGGGCAGGAACAGGGAGCACAGTAAAGAGACCAAACACAATCACTCGAGTGGGAAGTGAGGGGTTGAGGTAAGAGGTTGGGGGTTGGGTTTTTATTTGAAGGCAGATGCCATGGCGATCGTGCATGGATAGTATCTGGAGAAAAAAACAAGCAAGGTATTTCTCCCAGCAGCTGGAATGTGGCACTGCTGCCAGCTGAGATGAGGCTGGCTGAGGAAAGAGAGATGGGGGCGGAGCAGCAGCTCAGCTTTGAGCCAGTGAGTCAGAGGCTTTACTAGACACCTAGCAGCCATGCCCAGGACACAGCTGGAGACACTGCAGAGCAGAGTTGGGAGCTCAGGACAGAGGTTCAGGCTGCCCAGGAATCTGGGAGCCCTGTTGCGAACTGCTTGAGGCCATGCTAGAAATGAGATCCCCAGTGCATGGAGGCCAGGGGAGCCTGGCAGCGGGGGTTGAACTGGGAAATCCTGCCGTCCTGGTTGGAGAGAGCCTGCAATGGCACACCACTTCCTCCCAGCCCTCCATCTCCCCAGGGTCCAGCAGTGTAGCCTGAAAGGAATGGGGGTGAATGTCCAGGGGGTTCAGAGCCTCTGAGTGTGGCAGGAGCTGCCTGTTGCTCAGAATCTCTGGGACCCTTTTTCCACTCTAGCTGGCACAGGGCCAGCCAGGTGAAATGTATTGAGTGTCCCCTTAGGGTACACTGACTGTCAGAGGGTTCTGCTCCAAGGCATGAGCTGGTTTAAATTTGAAAAAGAACACTTGGGAAGCCAAGTTTGGTGGTGGTGCATGCCTGTAATCCCACCACTCAGGAAGCTGAGACAGGAGGATCACTGCAAATTAGAGGCCAGCCAGGGCTGCATAATGAGTTCAAGTCCACCCTAAACTATATAGTAAGACCCTATCTCTAAAAAAAGAAAAAATAATAGAATAAAAAGATCACTTTGGAGCCAGGATAGGGGACAGATGAACAAGAAGAGGAAAGGAGAAATCAGGATAGTATTGCCAGGTCGAGCATGGAATGGGTGATCAAAATGTCAGTGAATGGGGGGCTGGGGATTTAGCTCAGCGACACAGGTCCTGCCTGGCAAGCGTGAGGTTGTGAGTTCGATTCCTGATAACGGAAAAAAACAAAAAACAACAACAAACAAACAAAAACCAGCATGTCAGTAAATGTTTAAATTCTAAAATTTTATTACAGTAAAAGACTCATTGCAGTTAACCCCTCCCCAGGCGTCCCTTCTCTTCAAGTGCACTCCGTTGTTTCTGCCACTTTCTGAAGCAGTTCTGCAAGTCCTTGGGTACTTTTGTGAAGTGTGATCAGAAATACGGTGAGTAGGTAGCACGCGGTCCAGCAGGAAAACAGACTCATGCCGCGGGCACTTGTCCATCTGACATGGGCTTGTGCAGCTTCTGGCTTTTCCCGAAGTCACAGTGACTGTGAAAGATAGATATTTTGAATCATTTTAGGGCATCCAGGCAGCCATGAATGCACAGCTAAAGACACGAAGAGGACTTCCAGAGCTGCTTCACAGAGTGGCAAGAATGGTGGGATAAGTGTGTTTGGAGCAGGAGGGGCGTTTTGAGGGAGCTTCAGGGCAGTATGTCCTCTGCCGTAACACCCCTGAAAGAAAAGTAGACGGTCACCTTATTTTTTGATCACCCCAAGTACCTTCATCTCTCTCTCTCTCTCTCTCTCTGTGTCTCTCTCTCTCTGGCAGATACACCTGCCCACAGCAAGGGGGAAGCCAGCAGTCCGGAGCCTTGGACGCGGCCCTCCGGGAATCCCCAGGAAGGGGGCTGCCCACCGTCCAAGGAGCGTGAGTCCCCGCCCCCTCCAGCCGTGCAGACTGTCCAACTGCCCCGCCTGGCCTTGTCTCCACCGCCCTCAGCCCCTCCACCGCCACCCCAGCCGCCGGCACAGGTGCCACCCGCGTCCCCCAGCCCCCCACCCGCTCCTCGGCCTCCGCCCGCGCCTTCGGCCCCAGACCCCTCCCTGGACTTCCTGCGAGCCCAGCAGGAGACTGCCAACGCCATCCGGGAGCTGGCTGGCACCCTTCGGCAGGGATTGGCCAAACTGAGCGAGGCCCTCAGCGCCCTGCTACCCCTTCTGCCCGGAACCCCAGTCGACCCGCTGCCCCCGCCTCCGCCCCTACCTCCCAAGCCAGTCCTGCCCCCACCTGCCCCCAAGGTGGAGGTCTCCCCAGAACCTGTCTCCGTGGTGGCAGCTGTCGCGGATGGGGCTGTGGTGGCCTCCAGGGGGGTGATCATCGCCCCTCAGAGTGCGGAGGGGGCGCCCCGGCCGCCCCCAGCCCCACTCCCTCTACACGACTCACCCCCGCACAAGAGGAGAAAGGGGTTCCCTACGCGGAAGAGGCGGGGCCGATGGAAATCTCCGTGAAATCTCCTTTCCCCACTCCTTCTGCCTGCACTCCTACTCCCCGCTTGGCGCAGTCAAGGGGGGCGATGCTCCTTGCCATCCAAATTGCTCCCTGGCTCCCTGTTCCAGGGAGTGAGCGCCCCGCTCCCTGTGCTAGTTAGTGCCTGATTCTCGGGGGGCGGCTCTTGATGGGCTCCCCCCGCCCCTTTCTCTGGTACAGTGCTGTCTGCCTGGCTGCCGTCCTCAACCCTGACTTCTAAGCCATCAGTTTTACCTTCTGTATTATATTGCCCTTTGTGGGTGGGGAGGGAACCTCTCGGGTCTGCACATGCCGCACCCCTAACAATTCCTGTTCTTGACTTGAAGAGAATTGACCCGTGGGGGCTTGCCCACCTCCCCAGCCCAGACTTTGGAGGGGTTGGGAGTTGCTAGACAAATCAGAATGTGGATGACAAAGAGGATACACCTGTCTGTACACTGGGGAGATGGGTAGAGTTCTGCCTGGGGGGATGGGTTGGGCCCTCTGCCTTCCATCGCCATCTCTGACCTCCTGAGCTCAGCCCGCTCCTTTCTCCTCAGTGGTGACAAGATACCAATAAACTTATTTTTCATGCAATCACTTGGAGTGAGGCCTAGGAGTCCAGCACCCATAGTGCACCACCTCCTTGAAGTTGGGGAGGCTGGTCTGTTGGTTTTCCAAGCTTCTCCTCCATCCCCAGCCCCCAACAAAAAAACCATCAAGTCTTTGTCAGTGAAATCTTACCCTTCTTGATGGTTCAGGTACCAGCCTAAAAGTCACCTCTTCCAGGAGAGCATCATGGATTCCATCCCCCAGGCTGAGATGGGTTGGCCTCTGCCAATTTTTTTTTTTTTTTTTTTTTTTTTTTGGTACCAGGAATCAAACTCAGGACCTTGCACTTGCCGGGCAGGCACTTGTGCCACGGAGCTGTATCCGTGGCCCAGTGCCAATCTTGTTGCAGTGTTGTGTGGTTCTTTTTCATAGCATCCCTTAAGCGAGCTTGGGCCTTTACCTGTTCGAGGTACATTGCCCCCAAAGTCTCAGAGAGGCAGGAACTGGTTCTTTTGTACTCTGTACCTGCTGCAGTAGAGCCGTGGTACTCCATTGTCCTCATCTGTAAAATGAACATAAAGATTTAGGGGTGTCAACGCTGCTTCCCCCCAGAAAGCCCACAAAAATTTAATGAGTGTCTTTTCTAGAGTTAGATTCCTTTCCATCCTTTGTCTCAGCTGAAAGGTTACTTCTCATGAGAGGTGTTTCTGACAACCCTGCCCCATGTACACAGCAGTTAAATTTAAACTTCATATATCTACCTCCATCACCAGGACAAGTGTCATCAGGGCAAGGCCTGAACCTCTGTCAGTGGTTGCAGTGTCCCTACCACTGCCCAGCACCAAGAGGCGTTCAGGATGTGGAGTAATACCCAGCTTAAAAACAGATACTTTTTATTGGTGGTGTATAACCCCAGCCCATTGTTATTTTTAATCTTGAGATTGAGTCTAACCAAATTGCCCCTGCTAGAGTTAAACTTGCAGTCCTCCTGCCTCAGCCTTCCAGAGTACTGGAATTACAAGTGTGTGCCATCACAACCAGCTTTTCTTGTTTTGTTTTATTGAGTTGAGACAGTGTTGTTCCATTGTATTGCAGGCTGACCTTGAACTCCCAGCAATCCTCTTGCCCCAACCTCTCCAGTGCTAGGATTATAGGTGTGTGCCACCACACCTGTTTAGGCCCCTCTCCCTCTGTGTTAGGAATGAACCCAGGGCCTCATGCTTGTTGGGCTGGTGTCCACCACTGAGCTACATGCCCAACTGTATGGCATTTGTCTCTGGCAGGCACCAAGCTAAGTGTTTATATGCATGTTTGCATTCAACCTAAAGGGACCCAAGGGAAAAACAGACCAGGGGTCTCCATTGCCTTTTTTTTTTTTTTTTTTTTTTGAGACCGGGTCTCTATGCAGTTAAGGCTGGCCTTGAGCTCACTTCATAGCCCAGGCTGGTCTTGAACTTGCAACGATCTTCCTGCCTCAGCCTCCCGAGTGCTGGGATTACAGACGTGCACCACCATGCCCGGCTTCCATTGCCTTTCCTCAAAAGTACTTGCCAGAGGCCCCAGCTGTCACAGGTCAAATCAGTCTGTCCCACATGAAATCTGAATCTGGCCAGAATTCTTAATTCCCACTAGTATTTACTAAATAATGGCACGAAAGCAATTTTATATGGCATGTGAATGGCCTTTTGTGTGGTTCTGAAGCTTTAAAACTTTTGTTTTTTTTTTTTGAGATAGGGTCTTGCTATGTAGTTCTGGCTGGCACTGAATTCATAATGCAGCCCAGGCTGGAGTAGATCTCACATTACCTCAGCCTCCCAAGTACTGAAATTATAGGCATTATATAATTATACACCAGTTTTTTTTGTTTTTTTGTTTTTGTTTTTTAGTATTTTTAAGACAAGGTCTCTCTATGCAGTTCAGGCTGGCCTTGAGCTCACTTTGTAGCCCAGGCTGGCCTTGAACTCCCAAGGATCCTCCTGCCTCAGTCTCCCAAGTACTGGGATTACAGGCATGTGGCTCCACGCCCGGCTACACCAGGCTTTTTTTTTTTTTTTTAATGTGAACCATTACACTGTGTTGCTACCTGCCTCATGACAGCGAAGCTCATAGCAGCACCATGCCCTTAAACCTCCAGAAATGAGATTTGTATGTAGGCACTATAATCAGACTTTTTTTTTTTTTTTAATCTCCCTAGAATCTTTCATAAAGAATGTGTCCAAAGAAATGTCTGAAATTTCAGGTTTAATCAGTTTGCATGCAGAATGTCTTGAGCTGGAAAGGTAGAACCATGAGATCAAAACAGCTTGCATGGCTGGTTCAAGTACAAGGACACCTGCCTGAGGATCACCAGGACAACGAAGAAGTCCATGGAAACAAGATGGAAACTTACTGTATTTTTTTTTTTTTTTTTAAAGAAGCAAGTCTAGGGGGATTGCTTAGGAGTAAAGACCTTGTTGAATGCACCTCAAGCAGTTAAAAAAAATGTTGCTGGGCTTGGTGGTACACACTTTAATCATAGCACTGGGAGGCTGAGGCAGGAGGATCATAGATTAGGAATTGGACCCTCCCTGGGCAATTTAGTGATAACAGGGAGAACTTGTCTCAAAAAGCGATGATGAGAATGTAGTGCAGTGCAAAGGCCCTGAGCTTAATCCCTAGTAATTCAGAGTAGCTAGTACAGGAAACCCATGATTATAATACTCCCTAGAATAAGGCAACAGTTTTTTTTTTTGTTTTTTTTTTGTTTTTTTTTAAGAATGGAGAAAAGTCTCCACGTGGTGGTGTATACCTGTAATCCCAGCACTCTGGGAAGCTGAGGCAGGAGACTTAAGTTTGAGGCCAGCCTGGACAATTTAGCAAGACACTGTCTCAAAATTTTAAAAAGGGGTTAGGGATGTATCCAAGGCCCCTTCCTGGTTTCAACCCCAGCATCAGAGAGTGATGCAAAGTTTAAAGTAGTAACAGGTGGTAGGTAAAGTTGTGAAACAGACGTTTTATAGCTGAAATCGGGGCTGTTTGTGGTTGCAGGGGATAGGAGGGCAGGCAGCATGTTTTTGTATTGAGAAGCCCTAATGAATGAAAACCCATCAAGTCATTCACATACTTGGAAGCACCTCACTCGGACCCAGACCCAAAGAGTACGATTTCCGAGGGTTAGAACCCGAAAACCCGCATCGCCCCTCCCCAAAGCCGCCTCCTACTGTTCCCGACTCCCGGAAGTGGAAACTCAGGGGTCCCTAAATCCTGGCTGGGCCCACCACGTAGTAGATGCTGAAGGTTGGGAAGGTGGTGCTGTGGCGCTTGCTCTCCCCCAGGCCCCTCTTTTTGCTCGCCATCTCTTTGTCCTCTTCTGTTAATTCCAGTTAGGGAGCAAGAGGATATGTGTGCCCAAAGCCCGTGTGCCGAAAGTAAGGGAAAAAAGCGCTCCAGAAACTTGGGGGGGCGGGGGGGGGGGCAGTGTGAATCAGGAAGGCCTCCCCGGCCTTCCAGACAGCGGAAGTGCGTCACTAGCTCGGACCGCAAAGCATTTTGGGAAGTGTAGTAAAATAGGGGAGTGGCGGAGAAAAGGCCAGTGTAACCCTTTGCAGACCGAAGCGCACAGGGAAAACTGAACAGAATTGGAGGGCGCTCCTTTCCTTTACTAGAGGAAGAAACTGAGGCGAGGCCTGGTTTGGGAGTCCTCAGTCCTCTGCTCTCGCCCACTGTGGTTGGTCCCAGAAACTGATATCGAGGACTCTACGGGAGAACAAAGTGCCAAGTACACACCCCCCACCACAGTTGCCTGCTTCCTGTCCACTAAAACCATCCAATCAGGGCCTCTTCGCGCCGCCCCAGGATCTGCTTTCCTAACCCGTCATCGGTCCTCCTTTGATAGGCGGGGGAACTGAGGCTCAGAGAAGACAAGACCTGTGCCAAAAGTTGTACTGCACATTGAGTAGAAAACGGATGCTCGGCAGCCTGTCCACCCGCTGCAATTTCTGAGTCCGTGGTAACTAATCGTTCGTGTTACCTCCCCACCCCGAACCTTTGGGCCTGCGCTCCTCCGAGCGCTCCAGGAGTATTTAAGGAGGTGGTGTGGGACTAGGCGACGAGCCTCCCCTGCTGCCTGCTGGCCCCTTTAAGAGCCGGCCCCGGCGGGACTACATTTCCCAGAAGGCTTTGCCGGCGCGTTATGTAACTTTCCCTGCGAAGCGGCCTCTGGGGCAGAAAGAGGAGGTGGAGGCAGCGACGGCCGTTGCAGCAGCGGCCTCGGCGGCGGGAGCAGCGGGAGCCCGAGGCGGCGGCCCCCGCGGCCCATCGCGGCCCGAGCTGTGCGCCTCTGCTCTTGGGCCGGACCGGGCGGGGGCGTCGACGTGCTTCTGCCGGCCTCCTCGAGGGAGGCGGGAGTGAAAAGAAGGCTCCCGGTCCAGGGGGCGGGGAAGGGGGGCCGGGCCTGGGCCCGGCGGGGAGGCCGAGCCGGAGGCCAGACTGTGGCTCGCCCCGTCCGGGGCGGCGGGTGGAACGCGGGCGCGGGCCGATCATCGGCGGCGGGGGCGAGGCGGGGGCCCGGCGGCGCGCGCGCGGGGACCATGGCGTCAGTGCAGGCGTCCCGCCGCCAGTGGTGCTACCTGTGCGATCTGCCCAAGATGCCGTGGGCCATGGTGTGGGACTTCAGCGAGGCCGTATGTCGCGGCTGCGTGAATTTCGAGGGCGCGGACCGCATCGAGCTACTCATCGACGCCGCCCGCCAGCTCAAGCGCAGCCACGTGCTCCCCGAGGGACGCTCGCCCGGGCCCCCCGCCCTCAAGCACCCGACCACCAAGGACCTGGCGGCGGCGACCTCACAGGGGCCCCCGTTGCCACCGCCGCAGGCCCAGACCCAGCCATCGGGGACCGGCGGCGGCGGTGGCGTCTCCGGCCCGGACCGCTATGACAGGGCCACATCTTCCGGCCGCCTCCCCCTGCCGTCACCCGCCCTGGAATACACCCTGGGGTCCCGCCTGGCTAATGGGCTGGGCCGCGAGGAGGTCGTGGCAGAAGGGGCACGCAGGGCTTTGCTTGGCTCCATGCCCAGCCTGATGCCCCCCGGGCTGCTGGCAGCTGCTGTGTCTGGCCTGGGCGGCCGAGGCCTGACCCTGGCACCCGGCTTGAGTCCTGTCCGTCCACTTTTCGGCTCTGATTTCGATAAGGAGAAGCAGCAGAGGAATGCGGACTGTCTGGCAGAACTGAACGAGGCCATGCGGGGTCGGGCAGAGGAGTGGCATGGGCGCCCCAAAGCTGTGCGAGAGCAGCTCTTGGCGTTGTCCGCCTGCGCCCCCTTCAATGTGCGCTTCAAGAAGGATCACGGGCTGGTGGGGAGGGTGTTCGCCTTCGATGCCGCAGCCCGCCCTCCAGGCTATGAGTTCGAGCTGAAGCTCTTCACCGAGTACCCGTGTGGTTCTGGCAATGTCTACGCGGGGGTCCTGGCTGTGGCCCGACAGATGTTCCATGATGCTCTGCGGGAGCCGGGCAAGGCCCTGGCTTCCTCCGGGTTCAAGTACCTCGAGTATGAACGCCGCCACGGTTCAGGCGAATGGCGCCAGTTGGGCGAGCTGCTCACCGACGGGGTCCGCAGCTTCCGAGAGCCTGCGCCTGCTGAGGCCCTGCCGCAGCAGTACCCAGAGTCAGCTCCTGCAGCTCTGTGTGGCCCACCCCCGCGGGCCCCTTCCAGGAACCTGGCACCCACACCCCGCCGCCGCAAGGCATCCCCGGAGCCTGAGGGCGAGGCGGCTGGGAAGATGACCACTGAAGAGCAGCAGCAGCGACACTGGGTAGCACCCGGTGCCCCATATTCCACTGAGACCCCCGGCGTGCCCTCCCCCATTGCCGCCCTGAAGAATGTGGCCGAGGCCCTGGGTCACTCACCCAAGGACCCGAGTGGGGGCGGAGGCCCTGTGCGGGCTGGGGGTGCCAGCCCCGCAGCCTCCTCCACAGCCCAGCCGCCCACGCAGCATCGCCTGGTGGCCCGCAATGGGGAGGCGGAAGTCAGCCCCACAGCTGGGGCTGAAGCTGTCAGCGGGGGTGGTAGTGGCACGGGGGCGACCCCGGGGGCCCCCCTGTGCTGCACGCTGTGCCGGGAGCGGCTGGAAGACACCCACTTCGTCCAGTGCCCCTCGGTGCCCGGACACAAGTTCTGCTTTCCCTGCTCGCGGGAGTTCATCAAGGCGCAGGGCCCGGCGGGGGAGGTATACTGCCCCAGCGGCGACAAGTGCCCGCTGGTGGGCTCCACTGTCCCTTGGGCCTTCATGCAGGGCGAGATTGCCACCATCCTCGCTGGAGACATCAAGGTCAAGAAAGAACGGGACCCCTAGGCCACCACTGTCACCAGGCTACTGCCCCTACCCCCTTGCCACCCACTGCAGCTGTGGATAAATTATTCCCTCCCCTCCCCAACCCAGTGCCACCCCTACCTGTGTACATACCCCCTTCCCCTGCCCAGATGGGTCCCCCGGGGTAGATGCATTGTGGGTGGGGGTTGAAAGCTTGTGGCTCCTGTCGGAGGTGGTGTTTGGGGTCCCTTGGCCCCTCCAATGTCCCTCTCCCCTCCTTGGCTTGGCTTTGCTGCTGCTTGTAGTTGGGAGAGAGGTGCCCTGTTCTCACTGAGAAGAGGCCTCCTGAAAACTCGCTCTTTATAAATGAAGCGAAAGCATTTTATTGCTCCTTCTCCCACCCTTTTTGTCCTTCAATAAACCGAAAGATGGGTTTTTTCTTTCTTGGTCCCTTAGTTGTGTGAGATGCTGCGCCCCCTTTGGGACTGGACTGGTCCTACAAGAGAGAGGATGTTGTGTTTGGCCCCCAGGTGGCGCCCTTCAGCCAGGCGGGCTGGTAGCTGATCACAATTGCCGTCCGCTGGTTGCGACCATCGGCCCGTTTTCCAGATGACAGAACTGAGGTTCAGGAAGCGGATGGCTGTTGCATGGGAGCCACAGACAGTTCCGGGAATGGGTTGCGTGCCTGTAGTTGGCCCGTGCCCTGTATCACCTACCCAGGATCGTAGAGGGACAGCACCCACAGGGGGGTGGGAAAGAGGCGACGAGAGGCGTCCTAGAGGAGACAGGCAGAGAATTGAGGCTAGGTCACTAGACGGACTGGCTGCCTGAGGAAACAGGAAATTTCCCCCACGAGGTAAAATAAGATGCCTGGAAAGAGGTGACTGCCTTTTGCCTCAGGTGGCGCCAAGAGGCGGCCACTTTAGAACACTGTGACCAGCTGGGTAAAAGGCACTGCCCTCCCCACTCCCCGCGGCTGCCTCTGAGGTTCGAGGCCGTGGCCCGCACCTGTCCAGGTGACTGATCATTAACCAGGACTTCCTGCTCGCTGGCGTCACGGGGCGGGGCCTCAGCGAGCTGTGGCAAAGCAGGGGTTAAAGGGAGGGGGCGGCCCGGGAGCCCAGCCCCCACCTCCTCGCGACCCTGAGCTGGAGGTTCCGGGAATGAAGAATGCTGAACCAGGGCAGCCGGTGGACGAAACTGTGCCCTGCTCTCAGGTGTTTCTTTGCCTAACTCTGGAGAACCCTGCCCTCTGGAGCCCTCCTCTTGACGCTGGTGCACATGTTCTAGTGCCTGAGTATTACAGACTCGGGGACTTCATCCTTCGTTCACATCTGGTAGACCCTCACGTTTTGCACTGAGGGTCCCATCCCCCCAGGTCAGCCCTCAGGTGCTGTGCCACCCTGGCACTGCCAGCCGGAACTCTGGGCAGGGCTGGGAAAACCACCCCTGGTTAAATACAGCAGGCGATAAGCCTGGACAGGAGAGATGCTGAACGGCGCTCCGGCCTGGGTTCCCCTCCCAGGCAAGTCTGAGGCCTCCCTGACCCAGCTCTGCAGACCAGAGCACAGGGTGTCACCCCCGCCGGGTCCTCGGGGATAGTGGCCTCCAGACACCTGGTTTGTGTGCGCCAGCAGGGCGAAAAAGCTGTGGAGGACAACTGGTCCTTTAAGAGCAGCTGGTAGGTGGGTGGGGGGCAGGGGAGTCACCCCCAGCCTGGCTGGTGTGTATTCTAGATAGAGGCTGGGTTAACCATTAACTGAGCAGAAGGCCTGACCTGTGTGGGTGTGGGGGGCTGGATCAGTCCCCCTTCCCCTAGTGCTGGGGTGGGGCGGGGCAGAGACATTCTGGATTAATTTGGGAATCAGTGAGTAGGTGACAAGACTGAGTCAGGGGAGAGAGACATGGAGACCCAAAGAAAGATGAGAGGCCACAGAGGCGGAGAGGGACAAATGCGGAGATCAGCCACCGAAAGAGACAGAGCCAAAGACTGGCGAGAGCTCTGAGATGAGGGAGATGAGGCAGAAACGGAGGGATGGATGCTCAGGAAAGAGAACTGGATGGAGAAATGCCTCGGCCTGGGTGGATGCCAACTGTAGAGACCTAGAGGAAGGGCAGCTGAGGGGCAGAGAGCAGAGAATGGAGAACACAGAGGGGCTGGGTCGTAGCTCAGTGCTAGATCCCTTCCTGGTGTGTGTGAGACCATGAGTTCCATCCCCGGTACCATTTAAAAAGAAGAAGAAGGGCCAGGCGTGGTGGCGCACACGTGTAATCCCAGCACTCGGGAGGCTAAGGCAGGAGGATCCTTGCAAGTTGGAGACCAGCCTGGGCTACAGAGTGAGCTCAAGGCCAGCCTGAACTGCATTGCAAGAGTCTGTCTCATAAAAAGGCCAAAATAATAATAATAATAATAATAATAATGATAATAATAAAATTTAAAAAAAGAAAAGATGAGAGAAGTTCAAATTAGGGCAAGACCCCAGTTGGAACAGTTAAGACAACCTCAAACTCAAAGTTTCTCTGAGAGAGGAGAGCATGGGAGCTCCAGGAAGAGGGGCAAGGCTGATTCTATTCAGGTCATTTGGTCCCCAGCCATCAGAAGACAGCCTGGTTCCTTTTTCCTCATCCTCTGGGGGGGGGTCTCAGCTTAGCTGACACCTCCTCCAGGCAGCTCTCCCTGACTCCAAAGCAGCCTCAGGCGCCATTTCTGGGCCCCCTGCTCTCCCATGCCAGCCCTGCCCATGCTGGACCATCACTATCTGGCCACTGGACTGTGAGCCCCCTAAGGGTAGGCGAGGGCTGGCTTGATCGCTATCCCCAGTGTGGTGTAAGGGATGCATAGATTCATGCGCTGCTCTCCCTCAGCATCCACGACATGACAAACTCTGGGCCAGGTGCTGTGGGGTAAGCAGGGAACACAATTCAGGCCCTACTCAGTGGAGGTGGCTTCCGGTGCAGACCAGCCGGGCCCGCCAGCCATGGAGCCATCCGACAAGACGAACCAAGGAAAGGGGTTAGAGAGTGATGGAGGTGGCTGTTTCACAGAATGTAGCCAAGGGCTCCGTGGAGAGATGAGGCTGAGAAGAGAGGCAGTGAGCCAGGGGAAATCTAGGTGGATGGCGCATGCAAAGGCCCTGAGGTGGGTACCTGTTGGTTTATCTGGGAGGCAACCAGGTGGTGCAACAGGTATGGCAGGGTTGTTAAGAGGGATCGTGGAAATTAAGAGGGATCGTGGGGGGAAGCATATGCTGTGGTCTGTGGTATGAACTTTGGATTTCATTTTAATCAGAGCAGGTGGAAGGCTGCTCAGGCTGTGGCTGAAGAGATGGAGAGAATAAGACAGAGATGACAAAGAATCAGTAAGACCAACATTTGTCTCTGTGTCCAGTGCTCACAGAGGGCCTGGCACCTATGCCCAACAACAAACTGTGTGTACAGGCACGAGCAAGACCCAGAGCATCGGAGAAGAAGTCAGAGCCATCTGGCTAGGTGCGCAGGCTCACAGATCCCCAGGGAGAGGCCAGCTGAGGACCTAGGGACACCCAGGGACAGCAGATGCAGACAGACACAGCAACATGGCTGAGAAGTCCCATTCCTTCCAGAATCCTCCCCGCCCGGAAAGCTTCCCAGGAGCTGGAACCCCCCCCCGGGCCCCCTGCCCGCCTCGCCGTGGCGTGCCCACTCACACCTCGGGCAGAGGAAGCTGGCAGGCCCCACAGGAACCTCGCCGTGCAGGGGGAGTGGGGGTGGGCGGGCAGCAGGGACGAAGGGAGAGGAGCGGTGAGCAGGCAGGCAGCGGGCAGCGGCTACACAAAGGCCCCAGTGTCTGCCCCTCCTGCCCCTGGTCCAGATATAAATAATATGTACATATGCCTTTATATATATACCAGCAGGCCGGGGCGGGACACGGGGGCCGCATGCCCCCCTAGGGGCCCTAGCGTGGCAGATTCTGCCCCTGCAGGGGTTGGGGGCGCAGGGACCCACAGAGACAGTGGCTGAGACCAAGCGACTCACACTAAGAGGCAAGGGGAGAGCAAGCCTCCCAGGTGAGAGAGGCGGCCGGGAGAGAGCCTGAAGTTAGAAAGTGGCGTCCGGAGCGGCAAATCCCTTTAGAGACACCTCAGAGAGACGTCTGGGGAGAGAAAGAGGCGAGGGACAGTAACAAAATAAAAACAAAGGTTGTCCTAGAGAAAGGCAGTGCCACAGAGACGCCTCAGCAAGAGAGGGAGAAGGGACAGAAAGAGTGACGGGTGAGGACACCCAAAGAGAGAGACACAGAACAACAGACAGATGCCAGGCTGAGCCACAGCTGGGGGCCCGGAAGCCCGTGCCCGAGGGTCGGTGGTGATCTCCAGGCCGGGGCACCAGCTGTGGGGCTGCGGTCCAGCCCTGCCCAAGGCGGCTGAGGGGCTGGGAGCAGAGGTGAGGGAGGTGCCCATGCGTTCCGGATCCTGCTGTTTACCCGGGGCAGGCCTTGCAAACAGGCGCCCAGCCTGGCCCGTGGCAGGGAGGGTGGGACGGGCTGGGCCCCAGGCCTGGCACCAGTGGGCCTGGTCCGCCCACCTGTGGCCTGGGTGGTGAGTAACACACCTGGGTAGATGGTGACACATAGGGGAGCAGACGCAGTGACACCCAGTGACAGATACAGGCTGGCACACAGTGACGGGTCGAGGGACCAAGGGTGACAGAGACACACTCTAACGCACCGCGACAGACACAGAGTAGGGGACACAGAAAGCATACTGGCAGGTAGAAGAGTCCTTAGGTACAGACACATGGTGATAAAACAAACACAGTGACAGACACACAGGAGACAGTCACAGAACTAAAAGAGAGGCATGGTCACAGTGACCCAGAGAGGGCACTGACAGACACACGGCACATACACTGATACCACGGCATCACACAGCAGCCCACAGACGCCCTGACACCAACGTGCAGGCCTGAGGCCCGGGGGCACGCACGCACGCGCACCGACTGCCGGCCCTCAGGGGTGTCCCCCTCTCCTCCTGTAGCAGATAGTGGTAAGAGGTGAGGGTGACTTCCAGAAAGGGCTTGGGACCCCAGGGCTCTGCTGGGTTGCTGTTGACTCTCAGCCCTTCAGAGCGGGGCAGGGGCAAAGGGTACAGACTCTGGGCCAGTAGGCCTTGGCTTAGTCCTAGCACTTTCTCCACTAGCTGTGTGACCTAGGGCAAATCACTTTACCTCTCTGTGCCTCCGTTTCCAACCATAAAGTGAAGGGGATTAGAATGTATTGGATCAATCACTTCAGTAGAATCACACGAAACTATTACGTATTATCACGATGGCTCGAGCCTTCTGAGACAGATGGCCCTCTGCTCACAGCTAGGCCCTGCCCCAGCCTCTGTTTTGCCACCCACGGGCCCCTCCTTTGGACTGTGTCACCTCAGGCCCACAGCCCAGGAAACCCTGTGTCCCAATGGCTCCCCTTCCATCCCCGATCCCTGGCGTCCTCGTGTCTGTCCATGCGTCCCACGTCTGACCGTGGTACTTTTCCACGCTGGACACCAGCCGGCTGTCCCTGGGGTGGGGGTCACACCTGCCCACGCCAGGCGAGCCAGTGGCCACCAGACACCCTGACGGATGGCCCCACCCTCCCCTAAGGACCCTACAACAACACCCCACCCCTCCGGCCACCTGAGGTCCCCACTGGGGCAGCCTCGGCCTGAGCCTGGGGACAGGAAGCCCCAGGCCTGGCCGCCCTGAAAGCCTCTTTCAGCCGGAGCCTCTCCCGCCACCACCGACTCCTCCCGCAGAATAATATTTGGGCTGTTGGCCGGGGGGCGGGGGCCAGATCCGGAGGCCGCCGGGGAGAAGCCAGAAACCGCAGGGCTTCCTGCCTCGGGCCGCCGGCTCGGGAGAGACCCCCAGGCCCGAGGGAGGGGCGGGGGCCAGGGAGACTGAGGGCCTTTCTCTCGACCCAGTTGTTTTTTCCAGGAACCAGGAGGAATTCCCCAGCCTGCCCAGGACAGCAAGGCTGGTGGGACGGCAGACAGGGAGCCAGCACGGCAGGGGCGGGGGGTGACACGCAGCAGCTGGCAAGGCGGGCACAGCGACAGAAATAGAGGGCCTGGCCAGTGAAATGGCAGGTAGAGGCGGAAACTCAGGAAGCTGGGAGAGGGAGGGAGGCCAGGGAAGAAGAGACCAGAGATCCAGAAAAAGAGCACAGGAGATGGACTCCCAGACAGGAAGCCAGAGACCAAGAGGCAAAAAGAGTCAAGAGTGTTAGAGAGAAAGAATAGAAAAGTGAGAGAGAGGGAGAGAGAGAGGGAGAGAATTAAGAGACAAGGAGAAGGATAGATACACAGAGACTGTAAGACATCTTACGTGCAAGCTCACGCACAGGTGCATGAACTGAGACAGTCTTCCCTCCGGGAGGCTGAGGCAGGGAAATTTCAAGTTTGAGACCAGCCTCAACACAGTGAGGAACAACCCAGTGACACGATCTCAAAACAAAAAAAAATAAAAAGGGCTGGGCATGGTGGCACATGCCTATAATCTCAACACTCAGGAGGCTGAGGCAGGAGGATCATTGTGAGTTCGAG